AAGAGAGAGACAGAGAGAGACAGAGAGAGACAGAGAGAGAGAGAGAGAGAGAGAGAGAGAGAGAGAGAGAGAGAGAGAGAGAGAAAATGGTCAATTTTGCATTTTCTCAGATCTGACTTCATCCCTGTTGACTTTTACCATAAGGGGATAATGGGAAGATCTAGTTTTTAAAATTTCAAAAAGATACACTCATGCCTCAGGAAGCACCTAAGTAACTGTGACTAGGAAAGAAACTTTTTAGAGAAGTGAGAACTCAAAAGTAATGCTAGAGAGATACACACAAAAAGAGCTGGCTTCTACTTCTGTCAAAGTTTCAGAATTTCGAAGCAAGTATACAGCACGCCTAATAGGATCCTCCCCATTTAATGTCCCAGGCTCCATCCCAGAACATCAGTCCATTTGTGATGGTTCTGAGCTCAGGGATGCTGGGAGAATCTTGGCACACAATGTTGAAGCATAGAAGCCATTGTTTCCTTAAAATCCTTTGCAAGGAAAAAAAATTTGGCCAGAAATTTCTTCAGACATGCCTCCAACCCTGGGAAAAGCTTTACATTTTTAAGCAATATTCACATAACCTGAACAAAAACCTGGCAAACTACTCACTTTGACACATATAGATAACAGGCTTTTTGAGTCTTCTACAGCCTTCTTAGGGCTATTAAGAAAAAAAATACACATATATATATATTTTGTTGTTGTTGTTACAAAGGCTGGCTCTCTGGGGAAGGGAGAGAAGAAGACGTTTAGAAATGAAAACATAAAAACAAAAGATACCAATAACATTTTTAAAAGGATGACATTAGTTTACTAAATCCATTTTTATAAGACCCATAAAGATCATGTCAAACATGGACCTAGAAACACAGGTTACCAGATAAGTCTCCTTAATATGAACCACAATAGTTCAGTTTTATCCAACAGGCAGAAAGACTTGGGAGGAGAAGGAGGAAGCCACTCTGTATCATCTTCCAAATTGTTAGTAATATTTTTAAACAAAATAAATGAAAAATGCTTTCTCCTCATTACTGCCAATCCCTGGGCTCAAAGAAATCCACTTCCTTTGTAGTGCTATCACCATCATCACTTAAAACTAGGCAGTTTCCTACTACGAGAGTTGATTTAAAAGTTTTGAACTTTGTTTTTGCCAGCTCTGGAAAAAAATCATTTCGAAAGTGTTTTTTTTGAAAACACAAATTTAAAACCACACACTTGTTACCAACTTGGATTTCAAGCTGAATTATTATTTTTAATGGCACAGATCACTTTGCTGTTCCATCATGCTCTTTTATTTTCAGAGTGCATGAAATATGAAGCTATCAAAATGGACTTTCCACCTTCTGTAACAGAGGTTTAGGGCCTGAAAAAAGGTGAATGTAATTCATGATTACAGCATAGTTCATTCGAACATTATCCCTCTTTCCTTGTCAATGGAATTATCTATGACTTTCCTACTGGTCACAAAGCTAGATGTCATACATTTCTCCTGCTACTTTCAATCGCTTCCCTCAGGGAGTAACATGTCAGTGGAGTTATTAATAGCCAACAACCATGCTCTGCAAACCAGTTCCAAATACAGTCAGGCTTATACACGCTCAGAAGAAAGTCTGTGCCTCTCACCAGCTATTGCTGCTTTTAAATGCAAGGTTGGAGTTTTTTATTAGGCCTGTCTCCAAATAAGGAAGGAGGACAGTTTACAGAGAAATATGGGGCTAAGCATGATGGGGAAAAAATGTCTAGATCAGAATTCTCTCTCTGATAGTGTTGTGACAGTCATTACCATCATGCGATGTATAAAGTTTATCATATGATTCCTCAGATCTGCCAAGAGGTCCAGCAGGCTCATGGGTAAAATAAGTTGTCTAAAGAGTTCATTTTTGGCAAGTCCTACTGAGGAAAAAAAAAAGCTAGGTTCACCCTGCTTCCAAATTCTGATTAACATTGAAGAAATTTTCAGCTTTAACCATTAGGGACATTGTTTTTAAAAAAAAAACAAAAAAACCCCACAAAAACCAAGAAACAAAAAAATGCCCCCTAAAATGTAAAGAGGCTTCACAGATTCAACAAAGGCAGTCACTACAATAGGTTGTTTTAAATCAAGCTCCTGGGGAGAAAAGTAGCCCACGGCTCTCTAACCTAGCACATACCAGGCATGTAACTAAGGAAATCTATTATAATCACTTCACACAGAGTCCTTAGATACTTCCTGCAAATGGTATCAATTAAAATGTCTAATAAGAAGTAAGGATGGGAAATCTACTCCCTACATAAAAGAAAGTCCATATGAAAATGTAATAATCAAGACCAATAATTACAGAGTATTATTCATCATATGAAGTTTTTTGTTAATGAAGCATCAGGGCCAAACAGTTAAGAAACAGGAGCTGAGAAGAGGAATTTATGATTTTGTTTGTTGGACACCCAATTCTTAGACCAAAGTAGAAACAAATGTAGTCTATTCCTAATTCTATCAGTCTTGTTTTTAGCTGACAAGGGCCACTAAACAGGCTTTTCTTTAACCTATGAACTCTGCCTAAAGTTTCAAAATGGAGGCAATGACATGATACCTTCACAGATACTCATCGGTGATTATGGCAAGGCAAACCATAAGAGAGAAAGAGAAACAGAATGAAAACAAGAGGAACAAAGGAAAGGATAAAGGTGTGTGTGGTGGGGCTTAGTAAAGAGCTCTATTACAACTTATCTGAGATACTACAATTTGTCTATTGCTATTCTTGACCAAAGAGCTTTGAAGAAAAATTTGGATTGACTTGGCAGCCCTACCAACTAGTTCCTTTAGAAATCTAAAGTCATTTGAAGAGAGGCAAAGTTAGGCTAGGGTAACTTTCCAGGTGATTATTTACCAACATTACAATTTACAATGTCTTTGAAGCAGGCCCCTATATCAAGCCTTTTGGAAAAAACTCTGCTTGCCTTCAACCCTAGAATCTAAACCAGGGAAAGACTTTGTTACTTTAAATTAAGTGCTGAAGACGATCTCCAATGGGAATGATGACTGGAGGAATGTCAAACAAGAAGCAAGAAAGGGGGGGGCAGGGGAGAACAAAATTGAACAGAGTAAAAGAATGCAAGGTAATGAATACAGTGTCCATCTAACTCCAGGGTACCTGCTTGGAAGATGACAGCTATTCTGACTCTTTACTCTCTTGCCCTGTCCTATCCTCACAATCCCTACCGTGGTGGGGGGTAAGGAGAAACAATCATTGCAACCCAAACACCCTGAATCTTTCTTAGAATGGAATCTGTTAAATGCAAATAAAAGCAAGAAAAACACAACAATGATTACATTGTAGAGTAATTGCTGGGATAACAGAAGAACCTTAAAGTAAATTTTAGATACAGAAAACCATTTTTAAACCCTGTGCAAACGTGATTTGGTTTCAATACAAAAAAGGAAATCTTTTTCATTTCCACAATAAATTTACCTGAGGAGGAAAAAAACCCAGAATGATGTACGTAAACAAGGCTGAAGAGATCAGGTACAAACTATATACCACATAAACACAGGGATTATGTGTTCTGAAGAGTCATTTTTGTATTTCCAAATTCGTTCATAATCACAGAATCTGGAAGGGATATCAGAGGTCACGTAATTTAACCTCCTTATTTTACTGATAAGCAAACTAGGGCTCAGAGAGGTTTAGTGACTTGCCCAAGGTCATATAGAGGAGTAGGGGAGTTGGAACCAAAACACAGGTATTCTGACTCTGGGCAAGGAGCTGTTCATCATTTCTGGGGCTTAAGAAAAAAGGGAAGTGTCAAAGAGTAAGCCAGTGTATGAAGGTCAAAAACTGGTAAGGATAAAATTCCTCTCTGGAAACATCCTTCCATTTTGACCTAAGTCATACATTGGTTTTAACACAGGTACAGGGAATGTGAACAAGTACTTTTGGTTGAGAACCGTGAAATCCCCTTCTTATTTTTCAAAGGTTCTCAGAGCTAAGTTGTATGGAAGCAAAAATGGCTTCAGAGCAATTCTCAATTAAACTTGTAGGTTGAAAAATATATTTAGGCTGGTACCACTGCTTAGAATGCAGATTGCTTCCATTACTCACTTAATTCAGTAACTCCTCGATACATTTACAACACAGACATACATAAAACATAACCCCATACATGCGATTAAAAAAAAAAAAAGAATAAAGGAAGACCGTAGCTAAACTGCTTTAAATACTGCATGCTACAGCACTTCATGTATCATCGAGATACGACACTGAAGGTGACAGAAAAGGCGGAAGGGATTACAAAATATTCTTGGCAGGTCAGTGTCTGCCCTTTCCCTGTGGCAGGAGTTGTTCCCTCCCCGATCTCTATTTCTACTGTTCATGATTCTAATGTTGATTGGCCAGGTACTGATTTATCCATTCTAATTACAGTGTTTTCTTAACTTAGTTAAATCCATCAGTATGGTAGCTGGGGTGGGAGTCAGTTGTGAGCTGGGTGGTCTCTGTGGCTGATGCTGGTTGTATCACAATAGGTGTGTCTGTAGCCTCTGAAAAAGGGGAAAACACATATACTTTACTGCACTAAGAGAACAAAGGCACACACGAAGCTTTTGTTACAAGGCAACTAAATTCCTAACCAGAAACACTCCATTCCCTTTATTAGGAAATGGAATAGAATGATCATTTCAACAAGTCACCATCATATATTATAGTAACATTGTTGCTCTGAGACCAAAAAACTGTCAATTGTCCCCACCCCAATAAATCTTTTTTAATTTCTTGAGTTTTTTTTGGCTACCCATTACTAGAAGTCCACCTTCTCCATCCCTCCCACCCACCACCAAGCCTCCAAATTTCCAACCCCACAATTCTACTATTACTACAGAGTCAATGGGTGGGAGACAATTATTTGTGTAAATCTGGTCATTCTTGTTTCTATTTTTACCTCAAATTTCCATGTTCACACCTCAAACGTCCCAGCTTCCACCAAAAACACTCCAAGCACAGTATCAATGCCCTCCTGTTTGACAAGATAGTTCAACACTGGTTCAGGGATCATTCTAGCTATTACCCACGCACACACTGGAGGCTGTATCTATTTCATGGGCTGTAACTGTTAAAGATACTTACCCCTCTCATCAGACTGTAACTGTGCCTCCAAGTCCTCTGGGGAGACATAGTATTCTTGGTCATCACCTTCAGGAGGTTTAGGTTTACACTTTCCACAGCAGCAGTTAAAGCAGCAGCACAGACAGCAGCAACAGTAGCACGCGGTAATGATCCCACAAAATAAAAACAGGGCCTGGGTAGAAGGAAGAGATTTGTGATTGTTTCAACTACTATATTTCCATCTCATAAGAGACAAGAGTTTAATGTACTTGAAAAAAAAATGGCATTTGAGATGTAAGATCAATATAGAACAAAAAGGGAAAAATCACACATGATGCCATTCTCCTATTCAATCTATTGTTCAGTAAATTTCAAGTTATTATAAGTGACAAAAGAAGGAATTCCAAAGACAAGGAAATAAGAACAAAACTCGTATCAAAATGAAATAATGTCTGACTCAAAGTCCACTCATAACATACTAAATAAACATCACATACTAAAAAAAATATTTCTTTTAAGAACTCCAGTGCCTAGCACAGTGTCTGTTTAGTTCTGGGTGATAAAATGGTGACCTGGTTTTATACTGGGAAAAACTCAAGTCTCATTGCAGAATGGCTATCAGACTATGAAGAAAATGAAAGTCATATACAAATATTTCCATGTCTGAATATTTCAACAGATCTGTGATTTCACACTAACACAGTAATTCCATCCAGCAGCACAGAGGACAACCCATCCATGCCATCTCATTTCGTGAATTGTCCATGTTGTCCCAGAAATCATCCTCAAAAAACAAACCCAATATGCTTGAGACCTCCCTTAAGGTCTTTTTCACATTCTTGTGTGCGCGAGCACAGCGCTTAGGCTGTCCGCATGACCTTCTTTTTTGCCATTCACTCATGTCATTCCTTGAATGTAGTCACCAGGTTTGAGTCTGTGCCCACTATGTCTATCCACTGCCCTTTGGTTTATCTGTAACTTAGAGGTGGTGATGTTTCAAAAGATTTGGTGCCATAGAGCATGACTATAAGAACTGTTAAAGATGGATATCTGCATTGGGATGCAGCTTGGGACTGTAAAAGCATAATGGAATTTCCCCAAAGCAATCTCTTTTCCACCAATTCAATTCTGTTGTTAATTCACTTGTCCATTTGCAGTGCCTGCACTACTGCAATAAACTCCTACTCAATCTGCCTGCTCCAAGTCTCTCTCTTCACTCCAATCCATTCTTTATACATGTGTCCAATTGGTTTTTCCTAAAATGCAAATCTGACCATGTTCTTCCCTCTACCCAATAATCTCCAGTGGCTCCCTGTTATATCCAGAATTAAATATAAAACCAATTTTTTCAAAAAGGGTAAAGCCTTTTTCAACCTGACCCCAACCTACCGTATCAGCCTTATTCCTGTTATTCCCATGAACAGTGTGATCCAATCATACTGACCTTCTTGCAATTCCTCATATACAGCATTTCATCTTTCAACACCATGCCTTTGCACTGGCTTGTTCCCTATGCCTGGAATGCATTTTTATCTCTCATCTTTATCTCTCAGAATCCTGTTTCCTTCAAAGACCAACTCAAATACCATCTTCCATATGAGGACTATCTTGATCTCTCAAGCTGCCTTTCCCTCAAAATCTATTGTGTATATATCCCGTGTTTATTTATATATGTACATGTCTTCCCCCTCTAAAGGCAGGGATGGTTTTCATTTTTGTTTCTGTATCCATAGTGCCCGGCATAGTACCTGGAATGTAGCAGATGTTTAATAAATGCTTGCTAAATGATGTACTGATGTACTAACTCACTTGCTCTATTGAGTCAAATGCTTACTTTTTCTTTTGGAATCTACCAATATGTTGCAGAATCTTGTATCTATTTGCTGCACCATTCACTTGTGGCTGAAAAGATGTGGTCTACTGCAGAGCATAATATGCAAAAGTCATCCTGTTTCTCTCTCATTATACTGTGAACGTACCATACATATCAGTGTCATAAAGATCAGAAAAGAAGGCACATGGGTCTGTAACTACTGACATAAGTGCCTACGGAGTATATCCAGGTGGAGATACTGAACAGGCAATTGGAGATGTGGGACCAGAGCTCAGAAGAGAAATGAAGGCTTAATGTGCAGGTTTGGGTGTCAACGGGATAGAGATTATAGCTGAATTCATGGAGGCTCAAAAGATCACCAAGAAAGTATAAAGGGAGAAGAAAAGGCCCAGGATAGAGCCCTGAGGTAACACATTCGTGCATAGGGATAAATATTGATCATGAACCTGAAAAGCAAGGTTGAGTTATAGAAAGGGATAAGTGGTGAGAGGACAAGGGGGCAAACAATTAAAGAAGATAAGCTGAGTTAGTTAACTGAACTGGTCAAGACTTTGCAGGGTAGAAAGTGAGTCTGGAGTAGGAGTAAGGCAAAAGGAGAACTAGATGAGAGGTTTGGGGCTAGATGGTTTCTAAGGTCCCTTTCCAGTTGTAAATCTATGATGTTATGATAGCAGACTATGGCCAGATACAGACATTTTTATCGACTGCAATGGTGCAACACTTGTGGATGACTAAAAGAGCAAGAGTATCACCATCACATGGGAATAAAGAAAGGCACTGTGGAAGAGTCTTGAAGGAAATTAGGGATTCTAAAAGGCAAAAATAAGAAGGGAATGCATTCCAGGCATATGGGACAACTTGTGCAAAAGTACAGAGGTTACAGATGGAATATTATATAGGGAATAACAAAGAAGTCAGTTAGACTCAAATGTATATGTTGAGGGAACATAATATATGAAGTGTGATAAAGCAGGCTCAACCCAGATTGCATAGGGCCCAAATGAGGAGTTTTTATTTTATCTTAAGCCCCAGAGCTGCTGAATGAAGATTCTTGAAAAGTGTAGTGACATAGTCAGATCTTCAGTTTAAGAGGATTGTTTTGGCAGTTAGGTAGAAGAAGGGATAGATTTGACACAGATGGACCAAGCAGGAGTCTATTACAGAGCCAGGCAAGAGGTAATGGTGGCCTGAATTAGGGCATGGTCTATGTGAGTAGAAAGGAGATAGGTGAAAGAGACACTGTAGAGATAGAAATGAAAGTGACCTGCATAGAGAGGAAAACTGAACTGATGGGAATTGATAAGATCATCAAAAGTGGAATGCAGAGAAGAGGAGAAAAGGATTGCTATGATTATTTTACTTTGGTTAATTTTTGGAGGGAAGAGTGATAAAAGTTCCACTTCTTTTTCCATTCCCAGTCGATTTCATGATTTTTCAAATTTATTTTTTTATTTTTAGGCAATTGGGGTTAAGTGACTTGCCCAGGGTCACACAGCTAGTAAGTGTCAAGTGTTTGGTCTGAGGCTGGATTTGAACTCAGGTACATCTGACTTCAGGGTTGGTGCTCTATCCACTGTGCCACCTAGCTGCCCTCTCAATTTCATTTTTTAAAGGCAGGATGACATAGTGGAAGGGAGGCATCTTAATTTGCATCCTGTATCTCACACTTCCTAGCTACATGACCGTGGGCAAGTCACTTAATTTCACTGAGTATACTCAGATATAAAACAGGGATAACCATCTATGATATGACTGTGAAGATCAAAGGAGATCACCTAAGAAAAGCACTTTGCAAACTTTAAAAGTACCAAAAGCACTGGTTGCTATTATTAATGTGGTTGCTCTCAGGAACTTCTGATTCTTATCTGAAAGAAAGTATTCATGATACAGAGGTGTAAGACTGCTGAATAATCTATAGATCTTGGGCCTCCTTCCTTTAGCAAATCTGAGACTTGTTTTTAAAACTATTTTTCACCATTTTTCCTTGTGCCTACCTTGGCATTAAAGTTACTGAGTATGAAAATATGTTGATTTGGTTTAAAGGATCTTATCAAAGTTCTTCACAGAATTTCTCTAGGTCTTCATGCTTCACAATAGATGTGAATCTATAAATTTCAATTATTCCACTCTGGTCTTTGTTTATATCTACCATGTACAATGCAAAATGACCAACTGTTCCATAATTGTCTTCAGACACACAAAGAAACCAACTTTGTCAACTCTTTCGTCTCTCCAAAGAGGATGTATGAACCATGCTCCTACTGAGCAGTAACTCCCTTTGAAAAGGCCTCTAATTTCCTTTATCACGAGGATATCTATCATAGGATGGTAGTTTTTGAGCTGAAAGGGACTTTAGAAGTCATTTGGCCCAACTCTTTATTTTATAGATCAACAAACTGAAGTCCAAAGAAATTAGATTTGCCTGAGGTCACCAAGGCACGAGGACTAGCTGAGACCTGACTTCAAATTCAGCACTCTTGAGTTGGTCGAGCTGATCAGTGGACACAGATTTAATAGTTAGGATAGCTACAGTTGATGTTTTTAGGGGTAGGGGACTGGATCCTTTATTTTTAAATATCTAAGAAACGCCTTGTTTTTAGATCACTCTCAATACTAATAAATCCCTCTCCCCTACCCAAAGAGCCATCCCTTAGTAACAAAAAAAAAGCAGCACTCAGAAAGAAAAGCTTTTTTTTTATAAAAAAAGCACTCAGCAAAACTAACCAGTATACCAACTGAGTCTGACATTACATACAATACTCTACACCTACAGTCTTTCAATGAAAATACCCAAGCTTGGGCCTAAAGAAGAAATATGAAAATGTACTTCTCTCCCTTCTTTACAGAGGTGGAAGACATTGCATGCGCTGCTGGATGCAGTTAACACGCTGATTAGTTTTGATGAAGAGTTTTTCCCTTCCCTCTTTCATTCTTTGTTATAAGAGATGATTTTCTGTTTTTATTTTGTTTTGGCTAGGCAATGGGATTAAGTGACTTGCCTAGGGTCACACAGCTAGTAAGGGATGATTTTCTGGATGAGGGCAGGGACGGAATGAAAAAGGAAAGAGATGTAAAATCAAAAAGTTTCAATAAAAAATTTAAAAGGATGATATAGCATTCTGCTTCCTTTTCTTTGATCTTCCCATTTACATTTTCCTGCAATTTTTATACAAATGACCGTTTGTAAAATTCTTGCAATCCAATGTTTTGAAACTAATTATAACAAAACAGAAAACTGTATAAACAATTTTAGAAAACCCCAAAGAACACCCTGAAGAGCAGAGTCTCTTTGACACTTTTAAAGGAAGCATATTCCTCTCACCTTTGCCCACCAGCTGGATAGCACAAAATAGGTATTCACGTTCTCCTCACCAAACTGCTCAGCTACATAAAGGCCCAAAGAGCCATACTTGTCATATATATTTCGTTTCGTGGCGTCAGTTAATATTGCATGTGCGTTGTTGATCTCTTTAAACTTGTCTGCAGCTTCTGGGTTATCTGGATTCTTGTCAGGATGATATTTCAATGCAAGCTTCCTGCAAACAAAAAGATTTTTGTCCATTTAAATTCAGTTCCTTGCTTTTTCATTTTTCCATGCATTCATATGGCACAATAGTCAATACAAGAAAACCTTTTTCATTTTATGGTCTCATCTATTTGCATCTGTATTTCTACCCTCACATTCTTAGACAGGAAAAACAACTGGGACATAAGAATTTTCCTATGATGACAAATCTAACCATCCTCAAGGAGCTATGGAAAGATCAGCTGAATGTTTGCCTTGCTGTATATACTTTGTTTCTCTTATACTATATAAAATTTACATATAGAAACAGTGCCCTAACTTCATTGTTACCAAATACTGCGAGACCTCTCTAAGAAACCTACAAAGCCTACTACTGACCTCTAGTGTTCCATTTAATTTACTGAATATTAAAAAAAACCTATAAAAACTTTTTATATCATGTAATTTATATCTGCTTGCCATTAACTATTCTAACACTTAAGATGACCAAATGAGAATACTAAGATGCCTGGTTATGTGGAGAGCCTGAATGTTTTAAACAATCTTCCCATAAACCCAAGGAATCCTTTAGGTTTAAGTGGTTGAGGTAAATAAAATGTACAAAAATTAAGTGACATAGATCAAGAATTTGCTGGCCAATCAGTACATACACGCTCAGAGAGAGACAAATTATGCATTTTTTACTTACCCTGGATGACAAAAGAAGTCCTATTTGCTGCTTCTACTACTACGGCTACGAGTACTACTATCACCTAATCAGCAGTGATTTATTTACTTTCTATCGAAAAGAACTGAGTGAAAACAAAATTTTCATAAGTAAAATATATGAAAAAGGAGGCTGCATGGAAGTGAATACATTTTTTAAAAGAAGCCTACTAAAACAGTCACACTGTTAAAAGTATACATGGAACATTTTTTTCCAGGTTCTTCTTTTTCAATGTTTTACTGATACTCTTTTTTATTTTTGTTTTGTTTTTGTTTTTAGGCAACTGGGGTTAAGTGACTTCCCCAGGGTCACACAGCTAGTAAGTGTCAAGTGTTTGGTCTGAGGCGGAATTTGAACTCAGGTCCTCCTGACTTCTGAGCCAGTGCTCTACCCACTGCGCCACCTAGCTGCTCTGTGATACTCTTTTTTAAAAGAGCACTCTCACTTCTCAATAACTTTCTTGCTGTCCCTCCCCTGAAACAAATAAGTACAGATGAAAACATCAAATCAACATACTGGCCATGTTTGAAAATATATGTGTCCATGTGCCTCTTCTCAGAGCACTACATACATATCAAAGACTAAAAGGAAGGTCTTTAAATATATTCATACTTTTCTTTCTTTCTAAAGGATTGCTTTAGAAGTCAACAATTTCAGGGCAGCTAGATGATGCAGTGGATAGAGCACAGGCCCTAGAGTCAGGAGGACCTGAATTCAAATCTGGCCTCAGACACATGATACTCACTAGCTGCATGATCCCAGGCAAGTCACTTAACCCTGATTGCCTTGTGTCTCTCCTCCCCCACCCCCCAAAATAAAACCAACAGTTTTGCATTTGATAATGCACAAAATTCCACAAGGTACTACTTTCCCTTAGGAAAATATAAGAAAATAAATTTTAAATATTCTAGGAAATAAGCACTTTTATAACTGGAAATCCAAAATCCAAAATAAAATTGTGTCACCTATAAGTTACAAATTGTTTTTAAAGAAAAGTTGGACATCTGAAGAAAGAGCCTTTCCCTATGTTATACTCAACTAAATTCAGGTCTGAACATAATGATTAGCACTATATGGCCACCTAAGTGAATTTCCAAAAGCTAAAATTTTCTTACCTATATGATTTTTTTATATCATCTGAGGTTGCATTCTTGTCCAACCCAAGAACATGGTACAATGATTCTCCAGAGGTAGAAAGTGAACGCTGTCTCTGGTCTGCCATTTTATGCTAATCTGCAAAACATATTTTATTAAAATACAACACTGAGAAATCATCCAAGTAGTTTGTAATGGTCAGTTTTGTAAAAAAAAGATTCATGTCCAAAGCTCACTTTTAAGATTAATATTCCAACTACTACAAAAAGTTGGTAGAAATGGGTCTTCTCCTAAGATAATAAAAAGATATTAAGTCACTAGATATCAAACTATAAACCTGGCTCAGCAATAAAGCTGGTTATTTTGCAGTTCCCACTTTTCCATTAAGAAACTTGTATTTACTCTAGCATATCTAAAATTTTAAGGAATCATAAAAAGTTACATGAAACCTAATACTCAAGATAAGAATGCAACATACAATAAAATTAGTTTGTATCTGTTTAACTCTTTGGATGGCAGAAAATTGAGACAAAATTCTCATAGCCTTGAACTCAAATTAGGCTGAAGATAGGCTAAGAGTAGTGAAGTAATGTACATTTATTTCCTTAAGTCAGAAAGATCCAAGTTCAACCCAGGCCTTCAGACACTTACTAGCTGTATGACCCCAAGCAAGTCAGTGCTTTGCAAACACACATACAAAAACATATGTGTGTATATATACACATATGGCAGTTGTTATTACTATCATTATTTCAGTCAATGAGTTACTGATGCACTGAGAGGTTAAGTGCCTTACTTAGGGTGATATTGCCAGTGCGTGTCAGCAGTAAGGCATGAAGCCTGGTTTTCAGGACTCTCAGGCAAGTTCTCTATTCACCACTGCTTTAAAAATAAAATAGTCTTTGTTCCTAACAAAAAAAAAAAATGACCAAATTACAAATTCATGGTACATAACTTAACCTGGCTTTTTTCCCACTGAACATTTTTTTCTATTCTACTCTCACTTATTACTTCCTCTTACTTTCCATACTAATTGTTCCTAATCCCTCCTCAAACCCCTAACCATACCTCACCCCCTAAACACTTAGAAAAGATTACCTAACCTCCCATTTAATAAGAGATTAAGGCCCCAAACAGGAAATTCTTCAATTTCCTTTCCCCAAACTTAGTAGCATTACGGACTTATTCTCTTGTTTCAAAAGAGAAGTATTCCTACTCATGTTTAGGTTAATTAACCCTTGCTTCTCTGCCCTTGATACATTCTCTTCCTTCCTGTAAAAAGCTTCACCAAGTATCTCTATTGTCCCCTCTACTAGCATCTTCCTTTCCATCTAAGAATGTGCTGAAGTCTACCAAATCCTTAAAAGCTTTATTTAGCCCTTCTAAACTGCAGTCACATAACTAACTCCAATCTAACAATCATTTAGTAAACACCAACTACATTCAAGGAAGTGTGCTAACCTCAGGAGATACCAGAGAAATGATTCTTGCCCCCAAAAATCGAGGAGGGAGCACTTACATTCTTTCTTATATTCCTTGCCAACTGGTTGCCATCTTTACCATTTGAATGAAATTCATAGCCACTTTCCTTGACCCCTGTCACTGTATTTGGAATCAGTCATTCCTGAGCCACCTTTTTTCTAAAGTTTATTATGAATTTCAATAACTGATATTTCAAAAAATCATTTCAATATATTGTAACTATCCTTTAGCTCCTCCACACCTCCCCCCTTAAATGTTACCAATGACTAAATCACCAAATTCAAAGACAATGAATTGCTTGGTCTTCATCCTCCCCTTACCTCTCCGAACATTTAACATGGTTGAATTACTCACTCTTTTGGGATATGTTTCTTCCTCAACTTCACTTTCCTTGTTCTTATCCAACCTTTCAAAACACCTGCTCTGGCTCCTCTTCCTTATTCTTTAAGGTAGGTGTTTTTCTAAGGTTCTGTCCTCTGTCTTCTCTTTCTATATCCTTTCCCTTAGTGATCTCATTTATGCCCATGGCATCACCTTTTTAGTGGGTGAACTCAGGTTCTGCACCTCCAAATGCCTACATAAGCAAGCTTTACCTGCTAGCATCTCAAACCTAAGATGTCAGAAAACCAGTCACAACACATTTCCAAAAACCTTTTTGCTCCATTTTCTGATTTCACTATTTCTGTTAATGAAACAGTACAACCATATCTTTTGTCCCAGGTTTTGAAATTTTGGTGTTCACTGATGCTTCACTCTCTTACACTTCTCGTAGCCAATTATTAAAACCTATTCAAGGCAGTTAAGTGACACAGTGGATAGAGTGTTGAGCCTAGAGTCAGAAAGACTCACCTTTCTGAGTTAAAATCTGGCCTCAGACATTAGCTGTGTGACCCTGGGAAAGTTACTTAACCTTTTTTGCTTCAGTTTCCTCATCTATAAAATGAGCAGGCAAAGGAAATGGTAAACCACTCCAGTATCTTTGCCAACAAAACCCAAAAAGAGGTTAGGAGGAGTCAGACATGACTGAAACAACTCAACAACAACAAAAAATCCTATACACACTGCCTCACTTAAAAAAAAAAAAGAAAAGAAAAGAAATGCAATCAGGGTTAAGTGACTTGTCCAAGTTCACACAGCTATTACGTGTCAAGTGTTTGGTCTGAGGCCGGATTTGAACTCAGGTCCTCCTGACTTCATGGCCGGGGTGCGCTATCCACTGAGCCATCTAGCTGCTCCCACATTGCATTTCTGCAATACTGTTTTGCAATATTCCTAATTTCCACAACTACTACCTTATTGCATTTTTTGGGGAACTGAATTGTTATTTCATTGGTATAGAGGGGCCAGTGCTAATTATGAGCAAAGCACTGTGCTAAATGCTAGTGATATCAAGGAAGGGGAAAAAATGGTCTCTGCCCTAAAGGAACTCATCTTCTAACGGGGGAGACAACATGCAAATAACCACGCATCCAAGACATATACAGTACAAATGGAAGGTAATTTCAAGGAAGGCACTGGGAGTGGAAAATGTGAAAGACTTCCTGCAGAAGGTAGAATCTGAACAGAGCCTTGAAGGCCCGTGTCACTGCATCAAAGTATAAGACCAGGAAGATAAGAAGGGAGATAGGTTGTGAAGGCCTTTAAATCCCAAACAAGATTATATATTTGATCCTTGAAGTGACAGAGAGCCACTGAGTTGGGGGAGGGGTAAACATTGTCAGATCTGTGCTTTAGAAAAATCACTTTGGCAGTTTAGTGGAGGAAGGATCAAAGTGGGAAAAGGCTTGAGGCAGGGAGACCAATTAGAAGTCTAATGCAATGACTGCCCAAGTATGATCTACATCAAATTGCTTGCTTTCTCGAGGAGGGGTGACAGGAAGGAGGGAGAGAATTTGGAGCTTAAAATTAAAAAAAAAAAGAATTAAAAATTGTTTTTGCATGTAATTGAAAAAAACAAAAAAAAGTCTAATGCAATAGGAAAGATGTGAAATAATGACAGATTGTAACAGCTGTGGTGGCTATGTGAGTAGAATGAAGGGATTTATTATTATAGTCTCTGAAGGAAGAAATGAGAAAACCCAGGAACAGAATAGAAATGTGGAGTTAGTGCAAGAAAAGAACTGAATAGAGAGGCAGCTAGGTGGTTCAGTGGATAGAGCACCGGCTCTGGAGTCAGGAGGACCTGAGTTCAAATCTGGCCTTAGACACGTAACAAACACTCACTAGCTGTGTGACCCTGGGCAAGTTACTTAACCCCAATTGCCTCACCAAAAAACAACAAAAACCAACCAAAAAAACCCCCAAAAAACAAAAACCTGAATATAACTTCAAAGTTGTGAGAATGGATGACTAGAAAGGTAGTGGTGCTCTCAAAAGTAACAGGAAAAGTTTGGAAGAGGAAAAGGTTGAGAAAGGATGATAATGAGTTTCAGATGCCCACCGAATATCTAGTTTGAGATATCCAAAAGACATCAGTGATGTGAGACAGGAACTCAGGAGAGAAGTCAGGGCTGTGTATATAGAACCTAATTACAAAAAGATGATAATTGAACCTATATGAGTTAATGAGATCATCAAGTGAGATGATATGAAAAAGGGGCTAATTTTTTTGTCATGGATCCCTTTGGTAGTCTACTGAAGTCTATAGACCCCTTCTCAGATTCTTTTAAAATTAAAACATAAACAAAATATATAGGCTTACAAAGGAAGCTAATTATATTGAAATACTGTTACATAAGTGTGTGTGTGTGTGTGTGTGTGTGGGGAGAGAGAGAGAGAGAGAGGGAGAGAGAGGGGGAGAGAGAGAGAGAGAGAGATTGACTCCAGGTTAAGAACCTCTGGTACAGAGGGAAAACAGGGTCAAGGAAAAAGCCTTGGGTGCTGAGTTGGATAAAGAACCAGCAAAGAAGGCTGGGAAGAGAGAATCAGAGAGGAGGAGAACCAGGAGTGAGTAGCAGCATGAAAACCTAGAGAAATGAGAATATCTAGGAGAAGGTGAGCCACAGTGTCACATAGAGGTGAGACTAGAAATCAATCTCTTTGACTCTGAAACGGCTCTCTCAATGATGCCAATACTTTCACTTAGTATATACACATCCTTATTACTACCCACTTACCTGGACTATTACAATAGCCTCATAACATGTCTTTTCCAGGTCCATTTTCTCCACTTCTCCAACCTTTCTTGCTATCAGAATAATCTTCATGCACAGATCTAGTTATTTCACTCCTCTGCTTAAAATCTTCCAGTGGCTTCCCATTGCCTGAATAAAATTTGAACTCTTTTCTGGCATTCAATGCTGGCACCACTAAATCTACCCACCCTCATCTCATACTATTGCTCTTTTTCATACATTCTATACTCCAACCAAAAGGAATTATTTTCTATTTATTTCTTAAATCTTTCTCTTTTTTTTTTCTTTATCTTTATTCAAAATGTTCTATGCTTAGAATGTGACTCCCTTCTAAATTTCTATAAATGCTTTAAACCCCACCATGAAGGAGGCTCCCAATTCTCTCTGTTAGAAATAACTGCACCTTCAGTACTTGTAAGCACTTAATAATTTTTAAAAATCTGCTGAATTTTGAATACTGAATCAACTATAATCTGAAATGCCTAGGTCATTTTAAAGTCAACCTCTTCTTAAACATCTCTG